CAAAGCTACACAAGAGAAACCCTGTCTCGAAAAAACCAACAAAAAAAAAAAAAAAAAAAAAACCCTGGACCAGAGACAGTCCGGGCCCGTTGGAATAGGTTCCAGGCCCTCTCGAGGCTATCCTTTATTTTCTATCTGTTTATCTCCGCAACATTCTCCGCTATAAATCCTTCTATCTAATATTTCCTGCTGCTCGCACTCAAGAAAACTCTGGGAAGCTGTGGGGGTGATGGGTAAACGCCCCACAACAACTCACCTGCCAAATCAACTAGCCCTAAAAATAGATAAATAAAGTTTGCCTGGAGATCAGAGGTCATTAGAGAGCCAGAGACAGCAGTCAGGCAGTGGTAGCCCATACCCTTAATCCGATCACATGGCAAGCGGAGTCTCTGTGTGGTCAAGGACACAGCCCAGCATGGTGACCCTTGAGTCTTTAATCCCAGTACCAGCCATAGAGACCAGGAGGTCTGTACACACAGGCAGTGATGAGGAAGTCATGTGGCTGGGTTTAGAGCCAATGAGAAGGCAGAAAAGGAAAGCAATAAAACACAAGACACACAGGAAGAAGGTCTCTCTCTCTCTCTCTCTCTCTCTCTCTCTCTCTCTCTCTCTCTCTCTCTCTCGAAGGATGGCAGCGAGTGGTAAGCTAAAGGGAGTCCTGGCTCTTGCTCTGACCTCTTGGGCTCTTAACTCTGTGTTTGGCTCTGTGTTTCTTGTTTAATAAGACCATTTAGAAATTTGTCTACAATAGATGGTCAATAAAAATATGTTAGATGAAATAAACCAGACAAAATGGGATAAATATTGTGTTTCCACTTATGTGAAGTACCTGAAAGAGGCAAATTCATACAAACTAAAAGAATAGAAGTTATAGGGAGGATAAGCACATAGTTGTGAACTGGAATGATGAAAATATTCTGGAAATGAATAGTGGTGATAGTTGTACCAAAAATATGATTGGATTTAATGCCAATAAACAGTATATTTTAAAATGCTAACTATTGGAGCTGGCAAATAAAGGCAAGTCTGATGACCTGAGTTCAATCTCTGGAACTCACATGGTGGAAGGAGAGAACCAATTGTCATAACACAGTAAGTTGTCTTCTGAACACACACACACACACACACACACACACACACACACACACACACACTAAATGTAAAAGATAATGACTACTATATATATAAATACATATTTTACTATATTAAACATTATGAACAATGACACAAAACATGCATACAAAAAAGATAGACAAGAAAAACATGAAGGAAAGATCAGCGACATGGCTCAGTGGGTAAAGGCACTTGCCTTACAAGCAAAATGACCTGAGTTTGATCCCTGAAACCTACATAGAAGTGAAAGGAGAGAAAGAACTCCACAAAGTTGTCATCTGACTTCCCAACATGTGCTATGGCACATACTGCCATCCATCATAAGATGATGATGATGATGATGATAATGATGATGATGATGAAGGGAGGGAGGGAGGGAGGAAAATTGACACCTTACCTTTTAGGGATGTAACCAGAATGACATGAAAACAAATAATGACAAGGAATATCTTGTATGTCAGTAAAACTTCTTCAGGTCTGCCAACATGGCCACACTGCCCACCAGAGAAAAGCATCCTGGAACAAAATAAGAGGGACAACAGATCATCAGAGCTGCCATAATCCTAACACAGTAATGACCCCAGGTCATTCCTCAAGTAAGAGCACTTCCATGCTGCCTTCTTAGGAGTACTATAGTTATAATTGTAGTGTGCTTGCAGAGAACTAGCAATTCCAGGTGATCACTGGCTATCAAAATGAAAAACCCAGGTTTACTAAGATATCATAATTAAAATGATAAACATGGTAGAGTTGTGGAAAATACATGCAAAATACCAAAAGAACAAATTAACAACTAAACTATTTCATACATAATTATGACCACTATATAAAGCTTGTTAGAGACAATGCTAACAATCAGGCATCACAGACTCCTCTAAATAATCTACCTTATTTGTTTCTTATACTATCAAAGGAAAGCTACACTGCATTTACTTCTTATTGTGGCTTATTTTATTGTCATTGTTTGCATTTCTAGTGCATTTTTAAATGCAAAGTTTAGATTAGATTTTAATTTCAAAGTGTCATTTATCATTCATTTATTTATTCATTCAACCATTCTTTATCAAGGGCAACACATGCTAAATAAGACATCAGGGCTGAATTGGAGGTAACTAGAAGCGATATATGTGGTAGAGACAGGGCTCAGACTTGAGGAGAGCTCAGCACATGAAGAGAACTGAAAGTGCTAAGACTATGTGATGCTGCTAAAGCTGACAAGGGAAGCTGAGAGAGAATGAAGCCAGTAACACATTCACAGGCTCAGGCACAAGGAGACATGGAGACCCAGTGGGCACACTCTTTCTATCCTGCCAGAGGGGTAGTTACTGTGAGCAGGCTGTGTGCTCCCAGCTATCAGTACTCCTGGTCAAGGTGCCTATGAATCTGGCCACCACAATAACTACAAACTGGAGATAATGTGTACACACACCATGGCAAAGGCTAGAACAAATGAGTTCAAAGTTCCCAGTTCTGCTACATAATGTGAGGGTTATTGGGCAGGGTACTTCCAATGGACAAATGTGTCATTTAGCAACCTGGGATAATGGCATCAGCCTGATAGAACTGCTCTGAGGAGTAATCGAGAGATCTCTGATTAGTGGCTGATACTGTGAGTACTCTACAAATGTTAGCTACACTCTTCATTCTTTTATTCACCAATTCATTCAGCAAATCCTCTTTTCGTACTTAGTATGTGCAAGGTGAGATAATATAGGGATTAAAGTGATGAAGGATAAAAAAAAAAAACCAAACAAACAGAAAGCCCAACTTTGTCTCAGTCTCCTGGTAAAGTTGGCTATCTTCAAGAATCCTATCATTTTTTTTACTCACAAGAGTACCAGGACAGTGAGTCTTTTGTTGATACAGCATGATTGTCTTAGACCATAAAGTGATTCTACCTTCAAAAGAGGGCTTACATTTTAAATATTCATCAATTGTTTGTTTCAGTTAGGAGAATTTATCTTCATGTAGATAAAGGATAATTAAAAGCTTGAAAGTCCTGTATGGCCGAGTTGAGTGAGGGCTATTCTGTTAACCTTGGTTAGTTGTTATAATTCATTATACTATAACAGCTATGAGATCCAAGGCTACACAGAGAAACTCTGTCCCCAAAAACCAAAAACAAAAATGAAGAGAAGGAAGAGGAAGAGGAGGAAGAAAGGAAGAAGGAGGAGGAGGAAGAGGAGGAAGAAAGGAAGAAGAAGGAGGAGGAGAAG